CATGGCCTCTGCCCATTTTTTTTCCTATCTGGGCCAGTAGAGAGACTTCCTTCTGTCATCCACCGATGATGAAAACAAGGTCATAAAAGCTATACAGGAACGTTTCAGAAATATTTTCGAATATGGATCAGCTGACATTGACACTTCCAAGGTGAAGACATGAAGATACAGCACATGTCAGTGACTTCACAGGAAATATACGGAATCACGACATGGATCACACCCAAGACGAGTCTGAGTATCCGTCTCCCAAGGTTGGATTAAGATCTTGGTCCCAAGACAAGAAAGATTCTGAGAAAGGTTCAAACCTGGGAATTTAAAAAATACCCAAAAGAGAAGCTTCTGAGTGTAATAATTATATGTAGAAGAGGTGCCGAGATCAGGTCTTCCAATCTCCACCATGAGAGATGGGGCTTGGGCTGAACCCCTTCCCCACAACCCTCGCTGCAAATGATGATGAGGTCTGCATGAGTCTACACTGGTGAAAGACAAAGACTCTCTCTTAGAAGAGCAGGGGCTGCCTAGGAACGCTCTAATTTTAAAGTTCAAAAGAATATGTGTGTCTTCTAACTCTATCTACACAGCTCTTTAAAACCATCCAGTGCCAGAAGCCCTGACAGTACCAACCTCTAAGTTTTAACCTGAAGCTATGTCTCTCCGAGAAACTAGGAGAAACCACCGGGCAGCTTCAAACAGTCCTCGTTTCTTGTGCAAAGACATTTTCTGGGCATTTGCACCCACATCGCAGCTTTCTGGCTGCTCCAGGTTTAGACTGTCCAACTCCTCTCAAAGAGTGGTTTCTTACAGAGGGTCTGCGGAAGGACCGAAGACCACAGAAAGTGAAGGGTGATTAAAGTCTGTCTTGAGCGGACAGAAAAGTTGTATCGCACAAGACTGTGGTAGTCAGGGGCCCGGGAACTAGCATCCTCCAAACAACCAGATCCCTGAAGCTTAAACTCTTCTTGGGAAGGGGGAGAGCACAGAATTTGGGGGGAACAGACATCAATACAAACAAACTCCAGCTCCCTTAGTTATTTTCTGTCCGTTCACCCATCACACCCGGAACGTGGTTTCTGGGTCATTTCTTTAGTATAAAAATTGAAGGACACACATCGTCAGAGGAGAAAGTCTCGCTGGAGAGCAGAAAAGGACAACTGCATTACTTTTCCTGGACTAAACCACGCAGGCAAGAGAGGCAGTTTGTCACCAGGACAGAGAGTGAACCTTGTATGCTGTCTGTTCCTAACTGTGCCTGTATTACGGGGTGAATGTATTAAACAGGGACATGGTCCTTCAGTGCAAGAATAAACTGTGGTTCATGCAGACAATGGGGTAATAGTCAACGCTATAAAGAAACAAGCTGCCAAGCCAAGAGAAGACACGGAGGAATCTTACACGCTTATTGCTAAATGGAAGAGGCCAGTCTGCAAAGGCTGCACGCTGTAGGATTCCAAGGACAGGACATCCTGTGCAGGACAAAACCGTGCACATGGCAACAAGATCAGTGGTCAGCAGTGGCTGGGGTGGAAGGGAAGGACAAATAGGAGCAGAACAGGGGATTTTTTTTT